TTGCCGGCTGCCCCACTGTTGTGTAGACCACTGTGGACAATACCTGCCAACTCGAATAAAACATTAAACTTAAATACGTAGCATTTGTTTATTATATACATAGGTCTTTGATAAATGAGTGATAAGACATTACAATCAATACAAATCTGTAAACAGGACACAAAATTAAATTGCAGAGATGAGATCAGGTCCCTAGTAGGTCTGAGCATCCCCTGTCTACCGGACAAACCACATGAACATGGGCCCTTTTTTGTTCAGGGAGATGATGAAGTAATCTTTAATCGAATTTTATATGCAACAATAATCTAACAATTGGTATGAAAATGTCAGTAAAATGAATCCATTGATAGATGTATTTCATTTTCGCATACGATTAAAGATTTTTTGAAATGTCGATTTTAAACAAAATGGTTGCAATCCCTGTTATGTCATTCAATATTTCTGAAGCCATCTGTCTCCACTTAAAAATAATCGCATTCAGACAGAAACAGCATATTCAGGTATATAAAAGTGGAATAATGTGGAATACTATTTTAATAAAGTTGACGATGAAAATGCAAATTTCATGTTGTTTTTCATACAGTGTGCTGAGTTCTAAAGTTTTCATTATAATCTATCGTTGATACATATGTAAGAAAATATTATTCATTCAATTACACACAATATGTCCTTGAAATCGAAAATCATTAATTAATATACAATTATACATCTACATTTATAAGTGTGGCAAAACTGTTATAGTACAAAAAACAAAAACTAAACGACTAAAATACATGACAAACGAAATCATTTCAAATTTTCCACTGCCAACTTTCCTTATTTATGTACATGTAGTAATATTTACAGTTCTGATTATTTTCTCTGTGATAGCTCTTTGAAGGTAAGCTTATTTGATTTCTTGATAATTAAACTTGAACGTAAATTTTGGCCAAGTGAATGGTCTAGTTTTGAAATTGACGTGGGGGTTTCGTTCATTTATTTTTTAACAGCATATTTTAAAACACATGGGCACTAGATAGCTAAACAGCTGGTGTTAGGGCTGGGCAAAAATATCGATATTTCGTTATATTGCAATACAATGACAAAAAAAATATTGTATTGCAATACGTTTTCGTAATATCGGTATATCGGCAAAATGCTTAGAATAAGGAATATAATTATACCCCCCGCTTGAAAAGTGGGAGAGTATATAGTAATTAATCGGATTTCCGTCCGTCTGTTACGCTTTATCTCTTACCCGCCACTCCTCTTATACTACTGAGTGAAATTTAATAAAACTTTCACAGAATCTTTATTACATATTGCCATTGTGCACCTCCTATTTCACTTTTTTATTCGACACGTATTTTAGGTTTCCCATAGAAAAACATGGACATTGCCATTATATGTTTACCTATGACGTCACATATAGAAGCTTCTAGATATCATTTGATAGGACGAGTTATTCCTCTTTACACATTACCGTAAAACAATATATAGCAACACATGGACATTATGGGAGGCGGGGGTATCATTTAGTGAGCTCATTGCTCACAGTACCTCTAGTTTAATATAAAAATAAATGTAAGAGAGGTTGTTATTAAGCCAAACAGTAAGACAGAAACCGTTTTATGGGAGCGGTGTATTTCACAGGTTAACTTTGATAAATTCGAAAGATTTTTTTCCCTTCTGCTTACTTATCATAATTATGCATAGTCTGCAAGTAAATTTAATATAATAAGAAAATGTCATTTTGATAACGTTAAAAATATTGCTATATCAAAATACAATTAAAAATATTGCAATATATCGCAATATGAATTCTTTGGCCAATATCCAGCCCTAGAACTTGGTGTACAGTTTTATTTTTTTTTTTAAATGAAAGCTGTGTCATATTTCTCAATTTACATTGTCAAGGGGAAAAAATACCAATTATAGTTATTTAAAATCAAACACTGTAGTATTTTATATTTCGTTTCCTTTTTAATTGAAGAAAGTCTACAGAAATGGGTTTGCATTATTGATATCCAGTAAATAAATACAACTTGGGATAATTATCGCCTTAAAATCTAGACAAAACTAAACTTTTTGCAGCTAAATATTTGTCCACTTTGTGTAAAACTTTTTAACAAGATGAATCAATGACGGAAATGTTGATTTTAGGATTGTTTAATTCTACTGAGATGATGCTGAAGTAATTAGGAGTTAATGGTATTTATTAATGATACATACTATTTTCTCAATATTTGTGCTATACATTTTGCTGTAAATAGAATTATATTAATTAAGTACATTCAATATTTACTTACCATCACTATTCCTTGGTACTGGATTTTGTTCTTTTTTTTCTAAACTTTGTAGTGGCATATGTACTTTTAATATTGAAGAAATTGATCATGTATAGGGTCAGTGGGGTTGTAGGAGCTACTATAATTATATACGTCCGCCTGTACGTTCGTCTATGTCCCTTTCGCTTTGGGTTACCCTCCTCTTATATATACCACTGAATGAAATTTTAATGAGATTTTCATAGAATCTTTGTTACATAGTGCCATTGTAATCTCTTTTTTTTACTTTTTGTACCGTTATATATTTTATATTGGCCCAGGATAGACAAGAGTGGAGGAAGTTTGTTGCTGCCCTTCACACCGCAGAGTGTTAAGGATGATGATGAAGATGACAAGGCTAGGGCTTTTTGTCATTAAGAATATTGATAATATGTACAGAATCAAAGCTCCGGGTCTGTATTCTGGTGTCAAAGAATATGAATATAAACTTTTTTGCGTGGTTAAAAAGACCATTTAAAACTTTCAAAGGGACAAGTTTGATGGGGAATCGTGATGAGTCGTAAAAAGACTCCATGGTAAAAATAGATTATAAATATCTAATCATTATCAATTTCGTGAAATCAATGTTCTTTTCACTGATTAAAACAACACTTTAATATGCAGCATGCAGTGTAATTTTCTATTTATTACAAAATATATCTTATATTCATGAAAACATTTTAATCTGATTTTGAAATGTGCCTTTAATGATTTATCCCTATTTCTTAGATCTATGGAGGTAAATTCAAATTAAAACGCTATACTTGCTACATCCTGATCCTCATTTTATGTTCTCTATAAAACTAAGTCACATGATAAAGTTGTTTTTTTTTTTTTTTTTTTTTTTTTTGTTTTTTTTTTTTTTTTTTTTTTTTTGTTTTTTTTTTTTTTTTTTTACATAATAAGTCTTTTTTTTAGACTTTGAATTGAATTATATGATATAAAGATATAAAACGACATTTACATTCTGGTTTGTACTCTAATATATACACAGGCACCTGACGTTACTTATTTTTCTTTTAATAAAAAAATATACCTAATGATAAACCTTGTTTATTAAGAGGGTTGATCCAAAATCAATGTCACTCTGTCCATATCTTTGATATTTGGCGTCATATCACCAATGTTATGTACCAAAAGATGCATAAAAATAAATCCAATGAAAATTGACAGTTTTATTGAATAATGTTGTCATTTAGCCCCTAAGAATTCATTAGCAAAGGATTTTTACTAATATATTTTCCAAATGCAAAAAATCACCGCTTCGGAGTTGAAACCCCATATGAAACTTAACCAAAACCCCACATGTGCCCCTATACACGGTGTTTTTAATGAAATGAAGGGGAAGCGTTTATTGAGTGTACATGTATGACGACGCGTATCCGTTATATGACGTTATTTAGGTGCGGCGACTATCCTAATTGCATGCACTACGTATAAAATTCGATATTTTGAAAAGTATGAATCATTATAATTTGAATTTACCGGGATTGATTTGTAATAAATATAGCTTCGATCATGTATATGTTTGTTGATTTACGACTACTATTTTATCGAAGTTGTGACATTACTTTGGGATCAACCCTCGTATTAGGTATGGGTATTTTTTTTTTATTAAAAGAAAAATAAGTCACGTCAGGTGCCTGTGGGTATATATGCTTGAACTTTTATAAGTGGGTAATGATGGATTTTAGCGAAAATTTCCAAAACATAATGTGTAAAATAAAATGAAAAAATGTAAAGTACTATTTAATAAAAAGAAAATTTAAAATCTCAATTTTGTTTCAAAACATGCGATTTTGATTTTTAGAGTTTACAAAACCATTCCCCCACGGCGAAATCAAGTTTTTTGACATTATAAACCATTTCTTTTTTGATAGCTCTATCTTGTCAATAAAAAAAGTTTGTGAATTTTGAAATTATACATACCTAAACAGATACTAGCATGTCATCTTTGTTTTATTTTATTAAATAATTGATTGAAATTAATGTTTTACATCTCATTCAAGAACTTTTCATACATATTAATTTTTCATTTTTTACATGTCAATGTTTTTGAATAATTCCTCCTCACAAGAATACCAAAATAAATCTGTAATGAAATATAAAAAAAATAAAATAAAAAAAAAAATCAAATGCAATTGCTTAGCAGAGACATTTATTTGATTATATATACTGTTGAAGTGGAATACATTACAGTGTTGTTGTTTTTTTTAATTTTCACTTAACAAATTCACGATTGAAGAGTATTAAATACTGAACTTCAAGATACGTAAGTTGCAAATGAGAGCTGTATATCAAATCAATTTAAAGACTTAAAATTAATATATAATAATGTAGATTAGTAAATATAGTTGCTAAATTATAAATCAATTTTAGATTCCAGACAAAAGACCAAGTTTGAATTTTGTAAAGTTTTTTTAAGAATACTGGGCCTTGTAGAACTGAAGATATCTAATAGAACTTTGGTCTCCATTTATATACTTGTTGAAATAATTGCATGTTTGATAGTACACTTGATAATATTTATTTTTCATAAAAGACATTTTTCCCTGATTTCAAGAGTATTACATTAATATCCTTATTTTCAAAATTATACTGGTCACTCATACTGGGATCCGCCCCTCGCCTGAATTTCGAAATGACGAATCGAGTTGTTCGCCCTTTTGTTTATGCCGGATGTTTACATTTTTATAGGGTCTACGTACATACGTTTTCATCAGTTCATTCATAAGAACAAATTTTGATACGTTTTTCATCGATAAATTCATTCAAAATAGCGAGAGCTAACATTCTATGAGGCGACTGTATGCATTGGTTTTTCTTATTCTAAACCATTTCAGCTAAATAGCTGTATATCTGTGAGTGGACTATATATAAATATTACACATACTGAATGATACAGGACTGCCTTATAAGGATATATGTGTCCACTCGAATGAGTAGGCCTATTGTTCACACTAACCTGTTACTGTAAGACATTTCAACAACATTAAGGCTGTTCGGTGAATATATTGGTAAGTTTAAATTGAAGATATATGCAATAATTATTTAGCCTATGTTTGTCGAATTTTAGGTAAATATAATATGAAACTGAATGTTAAATTTTGATATATGCACTTAATCTACACTGCAGTTACTTTTAAATAAATTCAAAATAATGTCCGTGAACTTATATCGGGCTATGATATTTTCATGAGCAAATTAACTACCTATATGTGCTATGATCTTTTACAAGAAGTGACAGGGCATGTCTTTAGCGGACTTTCTGCGGGGGAATCTACCTACCGTACCAGATGACAACCCCGGGGACGAGAACCCCGGTAAGGTTAGCCTCCCCATCAAATGGAAGTCCACCTGCGTCACCATCCCTGAGGACGAGCACACCATTTTTGCCGCTGTGCGATATAACGACTGTCAGAGGGTCGAACAAATACTACGACAGAGCGATATCAGCGCCAATATAGTACACAGAGGTGAGTATAGCTTAAATAATTCATGTTTTATATATTACAGTATTTGAGAGAAAAGAAAAGATTTTTGGTTGTTTTGTAAGATTACTTGAGGAAAAAAAAACAATATACGTATACAGAGTAATCTACATCGATTTTTTTGTTAAATTTTTTACAAAAAAACGCAGGATATTCTACACATATTGTTTTATAAGAGTGTTTAAAAAACAACAATTTGAATAGTATGATTGAAACTTGTAGATTTGTATTCTAATTTCTGTGTTTTAGCATCACAATGTTCACTGAAAAAAAGTAGGGTACAGAAAAGTGTGGCTATGCAGTTGAATGAATATACCCCGCTACACATTGCCTGCTTACATTCTAATATAGAGGTTAGTGTATTTGAATAAAATTAATCTGAGACTTGTCTAAAGCAATGCCTCACACATATTAAATTACCTGCAACTTTCTATTAGGTTATTAGGCTACTACTGAACCATGACGCCGACGTTAACGTTAAAGATTCGACCAATCGAACACCACTTCACTACGCTACACTCGCTAATCGTTCAGATGTTGTTAATCTCTGTATAGAAAATGGTAGGTACATCAAAATCTGCAGAAATTGTTATATGTTTTAGATATGTAAAGAAGATGGGTAAACAAAACAAGAAATCTGCCCATGGTTCGACAAAATTACATTTCAATAATAAAAAAGAAATTCTGTGTTGTTTCAGTTTACCTTTAATGTATTCTATTATAATAGGGTCTATATCCAAAAAAAGTAAAATACGAGAGGTGATCAGAAAGTTGAATAACTTCAATAAAAGAAACAATATTTGGTTTCAGTGTTGATTATATTTTAAATCAGTCCTTTCCGATTTTAATGCACATCTTTCACCGTTCTTCTCATGCGCAAATCACGTGATATAGGCGGTCACATGACCCACTCCGTAGCGTTCTGTCACAAAAGCTGAAAGATTTTTCTGAGTTTTATATTTCTTTCCATGTAAGTTATTTTTTTTTAACAAGAACAGTTCATTTGTCAGAAATGGTCAAATCTCGGAAACAGAAAGGGTGGATGAGAATATCCTTTCCAAAAATAAGCATGGCGACCATCAAAACCCAAATCTTCTGTCTCGGAAGATACAGTTTTTCAAGGTGAATAGAGAATAGTTGCCTCCTTTTCAAAATATCCATAATGATTACGTTTAAAATCTAAAGTAAACGATATCTATGGTATTTTCAACTATTTTTCAAAGTGTAAATTGGAGGTCTTTGATAGCAAATTGCTTAATTAAAAACGCATGTCTTTTCAAACTTCCTTTAACTGAGCAACATACAAGTATCATTTTTAATCATCTGCCTACCTTCACTAAAACAATCAATCCAATCATTGATTGAATTTATAGGAAGTCATTTGTATTAATGAACTGTGTACAAATTATCATACATGTACGCTACTTCAAAGGGATTTTCTAAGATATACCGTAAATTTACCAGTCGTTTGTTGAATGAGTTCGACTGATACAACCATTTTTCGTCACAAGTGACCTACATAGTGACGTCATTTTCACAGTGTGACATCACAGACAATGAGCAAAACTTTATTCAGCATATGCTATTTTATAGAACTTGTGTATGGCTATATGTGCAGGGCGGTAGAAACCGGGGGGGGGGGGGGGGGGGGCCCCGGGCCCCCCCCCCACTTTTTTTCCCAACCTTACTCTTATACTATAGGAAATATTAATTGAAAGCCTGGTTGCCCCCCCCCCCCCACTTTTAGTGATGTACCGAAAATGTAGTATTAGAATTGGTACTAAAAGTAGTTGACACTGAGAAAAAGTTTACCTACACCCCCCACCCCCCCCACCCCCCCCACCCCGAAATAGGATTTTCGACTTTGGGCAACTTTTCCCTTTCTTTTTTTTTCGTTTTTCTTTTTTTTTTTTTTTTTTTTTTGCTGGTCAACTTTTTCAGGTAAGTAAAAAAAAAATTTTCTCTGGCTGGCCCCCCCCACTTTCAAAAACGATGCTACGCCACTGATGTGTGTACCAAATTATTTTCTAATCTGAATTGTGGTTTAGTAGATATAGAGGTACTTCGCGAACTTTTTGATCACCACTCGTAGCCTTGCAACAATCTCACAGCCAAACCACACAATTTGGTGATTTTTTGTTAAATGTTCGAAGTTTTCTTACTGCAGAGTTTCTGCAGACATTTTCAAGAGTATTTAACATATTACACAATTTGATTTCTACATTACACCTCCTTGAAAGAAATACTGGAAAAAATATTGTTGTAGCTCTTTGGTGGTTAGTATCCTTAATGATCACTGATACTCGGGGTTTTTTATCACCAAAGTTAAAATCCCCAAAAATTCTTAGCTTTTTAAATAAAAGCTCTGACTCTAACACTTATTTCACGTAATAAATTTGATTTTAGCACTCTTTGTTTTTGTCTATCTTCTTTGGCAAAACTCAAATTTAAAAGTTTGTAAAGTGAAAGTTTCGCATCCGTAGGAGCTGACGTTAACCACCAAACGTCCAGTGGGAAGACCGCCTTAATGTACGCGGTACAGGAGAAGAACCTGGCTATAGTACAGGCTATAGTGGATGCTGGGGCCGACGTCAGCCTGAAAGATGTCAAGGGAGGGACAGCTCTGGAGATTTGTCTGTTATCAGGGGGAAGGACGGCTAACACCGACATTGTCAAGGCACTTCTGCAGGGTAGGTATAACTACTTAATTTGAGATAAAATTCATAACAAGTCAAAGCAGGTATTACAATGCTTATCCAAAGATCTGCATGCCTTGCATTGACTCTTTTGTCCATGAAAGACCCCAACCATATTTTTGACAATTTTCAAGAAATGAAAGATTGGGGTTTATTTTTTTACCTTTAAGCTTTTTACCTTTTGTGTCCAGAAGAGTGGAAATATTCATTGGCTTAAAAAAATAATTAAAGCATGAATGACTTTGATATGACTTTGTTTTCTCTTTAAGCTGGCAGTGACCCAAACGCAGAAAACCTTTATAAAGCCACACCTCTGATGTTAGCGGCTGGCACTGGGCAGTTAGAAGTTATTAACCTATTGCTAGATGCGGGCGCCGATATAAACCATGTATGTCAGACGTACACTATTTAAAAATATATGTACATGTATATATTAAGGAACCTAAATGGGATGTAACTAGTACTTTTTGGTTTAGAAATACGATTTGTGGTCTTATGCAAAAAGGACAAGATAGGGTAAGACCAGTATTTGGCCCCCATATTGGGCTGTCTTTCAGAATGATCCAACAGTTTTTCCACAAAAACCTGTTGTCACCCCTGCCACAAAATGAGTATTGGTTCTAAGATTAAGAATATACACAGGTCACAGTGACGTCAGGAAATAGATCAATTTTCGAAATTTCTTATTTTTATGCAAATTTTTATCAATTTTACAGCACATTTTGTTTCGGAAAACATAGAGTGCACGCATGCCTATCTACCAAATTTTTATATTTTATACACAAATATCATATACAGATTATGTGTAAAAATCTTAGATAGGCAAACTTTTGCTCTGTTTTTCGAAAAGAAAAGTATCTCAAATATGATTGAATTCTACCAGAATTGGGAACATTCTGGAAAATAACCTACTTTTGCACCCTCTAGTGGCTTCCTTTTAAGCTTTGAATCTAAATTAGTGCTTGTTTTAAAGTAAGCATCATTTTAACTTCTTAACTATACAAACTATCACAATTTTACCAGAGTTCTGATTTTTACATCAAATATGGGGCAAGATTCGGCCGTTACCCTTTATTGTCCTTTATACATTATCCCTGTGCGTGTCTTTGTGTTTATATTTGCGGGCCTGCATTGTCGCATAATTTTCCTTTTAATTCATGATGCTATTTCATTGTGAAGATTTGTAGTTTTTGTCAATAAACAGTACTTACTCTCTTATGCTTGCTACCCCTTTTGGGGCATAGGCCGCTGACAAGATTCCTCCAGGCCCCTCTATCCTGAGCAATGCTTTCTATCCCTTTCAAGTTCTTGCCCGATCTTTTGACGTCTGCCTCCAAATATTTCTGCCAGGTGTTCTTTGGTCTGTCTCTTCTACGTTTGCCTTTGGGGTTCCATGATAGGGTTTGCTTTGTTATGTTATTGTAGGCCTTGCGTAGGGTATGTCCTATCCACCTCCACCTTCTCTACATTATTTCTTCTTCTATAGGGGCTTGGATTGTTCTTTGCCACAAATCGATGTTGCTGATATTGTCGGACCATCTTATCTGTAAGATGCGTATCAGACAAGAATTGATTAATGTCTGCATCCTGTTTGTTGTGGTGACAGGTCATCCTTCATGCCCTAGTACCATAGAGGAGTACAGCCTTAACGTTGCTGTTTAAAAGCCCAACTTTGGTGCTTGTTGTTATTCTCTTGATCTTACAGATATTTCAAGTTGCAGGAATGGTACCCTTGCCTTTCCTATTCTTGCCTTTATATCAGCTTCCTCCTTGTTGGTCCACTGTACTGCCAAAAAAAGGTGAATCGTTCTACTTCCTCTACTTCTTTTCCTTCTATATTTAATGAAGCGTGTGATGATGTGTTTGCGAATTATGTGATGCCAACAAACAATGCAAGGAATATAATCCTGTACCAACGGAGACAAAGTCAAGCTAGTAGATTAATAACTTGAGAAAAGCCCGTTTTTTAGCTCTTTTGATCTGGATGTTGCATTTTCTCATCTTAAAAAAATGTAAGTGGTTGTTAGTATAATCTTCTGAATCGTCTGCTTGCATATTTTGACTTCTTTTTCTGGTGTTACGGCTTTAAATCTCAGCAAAAATAACTCGAATTTCGGAAATTTGAGTAGGTAAAAATTCTATTTGATAGAAATAGCATCTTGGAAGCTTTGTTCGAAATCGCTAATTTTGCTAACGTTTTTTTATACCCCCCGCTTGAAAAGCGGGAGGGTATATAAATCGTTAATTCCTTCTGTAATTTGTCCGTCCTTCCGTCTGTTACGCTTTTATTATCCGCAACTCCTCTCATACCAATGAAGGAAATTTCATGAAACTTTCACAGATTCTTAATTACATATTGCCATTGTGCACCTCCTATTTTACTTTTTGATCTGACATGTATTTTTGATTTTCCAGAGCAAAACATGTACACTGCCATTCTATTCATATGGCAGGCGGGGGGAATCATTTAGTGAGCTCATTGCTCACAGTACCTCTAGTTTTAAATCCAAGTACTTTTAATTTGTGGTCACTTATTATGATAGGAAGACAACAAGGGTAAAACTGCCTTTAACATTTGTTGTGAACACACTCGTATGCCGAAGGCGGGACGTCTGCTGATATCCCGAGGCGCGGACATCAACCATAGGGATCACGCGGGTAAGTTATGGAAACCAGTGCCGAGTTTTACTAAAGGTTGTAATTTATTCGTAGACGTAGACTTTACGACTGAATTAACATGTGTGAAAATCGGTGTAAGTTACGGCTTCGTCTAACGCTTACGTCTATGTTTTGACTTAACGACCTTTAGTAAAAACTCGGCACAGCTAGGTGTGTAAGTCAAAATATAGAAACGGGAGCATGTTCTATTGAGCTTGATTTATTGATATCAAACCCAAGTGAATATTGTATTTATATCCACTGAACTATTGGGCTTGGTGTTTTTATATCAAACACATCATATTATGGATATCAAATAAAGGAGCATGAATTTTTATAAAAAACACGAAAGCATGAAGTTTATATTGTATAAAATAATAGAAATAAAACAAAGAGCATGATGTATTGATATCAAACTTATAAGCAGGAACAAAAATTATAGACCCAAAAAAGTTGTAGATAGTATTTATGTCAAACCATGAGGCATGTAGTTTTGATGTGCACCTAAGAGCATGTTGCATAAATTGTTAACCCCAAATCCTAGAATTTTAACTACTAGTATGTAATTTTCAAAAAGCAATTCTGTGATTTATATTTTTTTCTTTTTTGTGATTAAAGTATGAAATTAAATGTTCAAACCCTCAGTCCAAATCAATTTATCATATTCAAAATCACATAACTTTAAACAATTTTAGATATATGTAATAGTCAAAGCATGTGTTTTTTTTTTTTATTGAAGTCTATGTTTATAACATTTATTGATCAAACAGGGAAGACTTCGTTGGAGAAGGCCTTACAGTACAATAAGATTGGTACCGTCATGTTCCTGTTACAAGCTGATTGTCTCAGAAGTTCAAACCTCATCAAATCGGAAAAGATCCAGGAACTGTGCAAAATGTTTCCACCGCTTACATTATTTCTAGAACACGAGTTTCACCAACCATGGAGTCTGTTAAGACTGTGTAGATTTAACATTAGAAACGCAATTGAGCCCCAAGAGCTGAAGAATATACCCAATAAATTGTTGTTACCAAGGACTCTTCTGCAATTTTTGACTTTCGGTGACTTGCTTTAACATCATGAATTAATTTATTAGCACTAATTCTTGCTGCTTTTACAAATGACAAAGGAAAGATAGTGAAGGAGATGAAAGAATGTGTCATAGCATAATGTAGAGAAAGGAAAATAATTTAAAGATATCATAATATAGATATGAACATGTTAAAAAATAAAGACTTTACTTATTGTATTATTACTTGTTGTGAACTTGTGAATACATGAGAAAATATTGAACAAATGTTGTATTTGGTGTAAGCATATTTTTTGTTAAATACGTGTACATGTCTGTTGAAATAAATTAGAGACAAATCATTATTGCTGTTTTAAAACAAATTTGTTCTTGACGAATCAGATTCAACTAATTTACATGAAAGTATACATATATATTCATTATTTTAAAATAGTATGAACATAAGGACACAGTTTTGACTACAATGTATCAACTATATAGCCAAATAATCAAAGCTTATTATGTATCTAGATGAAGGATGTATTAAATTTTATTTCATAATTTATTTGTATCTCTAAAGTCTAATCTGTAAAGCTACTTAGATTCTAATTTTTTCTGTAGACCTTTTTTTCAATTTGTGAATACCGGGTATATATGAAGTCTAAAATTGAAAACACTTTAAACAAGATATGTTTGTGAAACACTGATGCCCCCGTAGGGCAACATAGCAAAGGTTAAACTTTCTCAAATACAAATCAAATATATTGGTACCCAAAGTATGGTCTTCTCCCAAGAAATACAATTGTGAAATATACCTTTTCAAAAGTTATGGCCAAGGTTAAAGTTTTTAGGGGTAGGTCACACTCCATGGTCAAAGTTATTGGTTTCCTGAGAAATGTCTAGTCACAAGGATTACATACGTGAAGTATGAAGACCTAGCTCTAACTGTTCGAAAGTTATGGACAAGGTTCTTTTTTTTTTAAAGTTGGTCAATCTCCAAGGTCAAAAGGTCAACGTTTTTGGTATCCACTGAAAGGTCTTGTCACAAAAATACATGTGTGAAGTTAGTCTGAAATATCTGACGTTTTCCGGGCTTACGATTTTGATATTTTACGTGCCAGGAAAATCCGTTTTCCTGGTACCCAAAATATCAAAATCGTAAAAAAAAAAAGCCTGGAAAACGTCAGATATTTCGGACTAGTGTGAAGTATGAAAGTCCTAGCACCAGTCGTTCAAAAGTCATGGCCAAAGTATAAATATATTTTGTGTTAATGTGTTAATTTCCAAGGTATATATATAAAAAGTATATAAAATTATATATATATATATATATATATATATATCTTGTCACAAGGAATACACCTGTGAAATATGAAAGCCAGAGCTCGACCCAGTCAGAAGTTATGGGCAAGGTTCAAGTTTTTGCACATTTGAATTTGGATTTTATATATATATATATATATATAATATAAAAAAAACATATATATATATATATATATATATATATATATATATATATATATATACCTCCGATTCTTCGATTATTGGGACATAGAAAAGATACTATGGAAGGAAGGGAGATATTTTGTTTACCTACAGTGCTTACATTTAGTTGTCTAGTTAGCTGCTGCAAGTCCCTAAAATAAGAAGGGTATCGTTATTGCGAAATCTGTTGTCATGTTATAAAAAGAGTTTTGTTTTAATCAAATCGTACCTCTTTCCTGTCCATCCATTCCAATCACATTAATATAATTTTAAAAATTCCCATTTCTTGCTATTAAAAAACGGACATTATACTGTGCACAATATTTTTTTAAATAAGTACCAGGTATAATTTTTTTTTAAGACTTAAATAACACTTATAAAAATACATGCAGCATCCAGGAACTCAGCCCCTTTGTGTATACCTCGCTAGTAAAATTAATCATTGGCGTGGGCAACTTTTTTCTTTCTTTTTCTCGTTTTTAGGAGGATAATAAAGGTAAAACAGCATTCCACATTTCCTGTGAACACACCAGATCTATCCAGATAAAAACAAGTCGTCTGCTGCTCTCTAGGGGAGCAGACGTTAATCACAAGGATAGAGCAGGTTTGACCAAATTTTCTTTTAGAAAGGGAGGAGGGTGGATCGCGCTAAATAAATCTTGAATATGTTTCCTATGGTTATTATAATTATTTTATTAAAAATGTAATGTTTTTAGGGAAAACGCAATTAGATCTAGCTACGCAGTACAATAAACTTGGAACTATGATGTTTTTGTTGCAAGTGGACTGTTTGAGGAATCCAGACTTCATGCAAGATCTGAAGATTCAGGAAATCTGTAAGGCCTTTCCACAATTAAACGTGTTTCTAAAACACGAGTTTCAACAGCCATGGAGTTTACTGAGGCTATGTAGATTTACTATCAGAAACTCAGTTACACCGACAAAGCTAAAGGATGTGTCTCGTATCCCAGATCTTCCCCGGACTCTTCTGAACTATTTAACATTCTCCGATACAGATTTCACTTAAACTTCATTTTGTGTAATTCATAAAATTATATACATATAATTATGTACATTTATTATACTTGTACTGAATTTTTCCTATCTATATAAATATATATAAATTATAGGTAGTGAAATGTGAATAATTCCCTTAATTGAAATCACTGTGAATGTACTAATCCCCGTGCGTTTATCTTATGAGCTAATCGATCCCTGCTTTGGAAACTAATTCACGGTTATCTGTAATTCTCTAGATTCTACTTTTTTTTATCGGTATAATATGTTAATGGACTAATCCCCGTGCGTTTGTCAAGTGAGTTAATCCCCACTCTGAAAGCTAATTATCCGTCTTTCTAAATTCTCTCTTTTTTAAAAACTTTTGTATCGGTATAATAAAACAGTTAAGAAGTATATCATTGAGGGAGTTCGGATGATTCCAGTTCCCCTAGAGCAGGACTATTTCCCGAGGCGCAGCCGAGGGAAATAGACCTGGTCGTAGGGAATTGGAATCTTGCGAACTCCCTCAATGATATATTCTGACTGTATAGTACATCTTTCCTTCTTCTATTCCTTACATGTTTATAATATAAAGTAATTATGCACAATTTTAAGTAAAATATGTACATCGATTGTATCATTAATTACCGGTATATCAATATCAAACATGAATGTTTCTCAAGTATAGCACAATACACGGGCAAAGTCGCACCTAAATTCTATATCAAATTCACATGAAATTCGTGTGATTTATGAGAATGAGAAAGAGACGAAAAATCATGCAAAGAAAGTTCTAACAAAAAAAATGTAAATATCATACACATCAATTCACATGATATTCGCATGATTTTTATGCACCTGTAAACGAAGTTTCGGGGGTATATAGTTTTTGTCGTATCCGTCCGTCTAGCTGTCTGTCTGTCTGTCTCTCTGTCTGGCTGTCTAGCTGTCTGTTTGTCCGCAAAAACTTTAACCTTACCCATAACTTTTGATTTGGGGGAGCCATGACTTTCATATTTCACATGTGTATTCCTTGTGACAAGACCTTTCTTTGAGTACCACCAAATTTGACCTTTTGTCCTTGACCTTGGAGTTTGACCCACTTTTACATGAAAAGTTTAAACTTTTACTTTTGAGCAGCAGAAACCAGGACATTTGTACTTCACATATGTATTCTTTGTTAAAAGACCTTTCATTGGATACAACAACCTTGACCCTTTGACCTTCACCTTGTAGATTTCCGTTCCTGTGAAAAAAATTTAACCTTGGCCATAACTTTTGAACGGTAAGGGATAGGGCTTTAATACTTCAAACATGTCATCCTTGTGAGAAGACCCTTTATTGGATACCAAGCAGTTTGACCCTTTGACCTTGACCTTTGAGTTTCACCTACTTTAAAAAGGCAAACCTTGACCATAACTTTTAAAGGGTAGGGCTAGTGCTTTCATACTTTACATATCTAATCCTTGTGACAAGACCTTTCATTTTTTAACAAGAACTTTGACCCTTTGACCTTGACCTTGGAGTTTGACCTACTTTAAAAAAAATTAACCTTGGCCATAACTTCTGAACGGTTGGGGCTAGGGCTTCCATACTCTACATAAGTATTCTATGTGGCAAGACCTTTCATTGGATATCAATTACCTTGACCTTTTGACCTTGACTTTGGAGATTTTTGTACTTATTGAAAAAGCTTGTGACATCGGCCTACTTTCAAATTTCACAATTGTTTTCCAGTGAAAATCCCCTACTTTTTGGTACCAATTGATTAAATTTGCATTTAAGAAAAGTTTAATCTTTGCTATTTTGCCATACGGGGGCATCAGTGTTTCACAAAAACATCTTGTTAAAAATATTTAAGCATTGAATTCATATTTTGGAATGTCTTCGGTCCTATAACAAACCTGGCCGTGCCGACAAATTGAATACCGCGCGTTAGCGCGGTATGATAATTTCTCGGCACGGCCAGGTGTGTTATAGAACCGAAGACATCCCAAAATATGAATTCAGTGCTTTTATTTACATTCTCTAATTTTCCTTTATCACAATTGTTTATTTTGTTCATGTCTATTGTTTAATATACGGTATTGGTGTGCTTAATAAATGTAATAGCCATCCGTGACGTTGGAAAGCCGTTTGTGACGTTGGAAAGTTAAATAACGCAAATAAACACTGCGAGGAAAAAAATGACAAATTAATTTTTTATGCACATTTGTTGTATTTTATGTGAATTTTAAAAGGGTATTTTTTTAAAGAAATGAAATTGAGTCAAAACAGTATACATTTTGGTGTTCCTAATATTGAAAATGCATGTAAATCATATACTGTGTATTCTACCGCGCTGTGACAATGTTTCGCGTGTGTTATAGAGATTTGAACGTCGTGGATTTCTAATGAATTTCATAAAGAAAATTACACTGAATGTAAATATTCTAACATGATTTTTGCATTACTTGTATCTGCAAATAAAAAGAAATTCATCGGAATATAATGTGAGTCACTTTTCCCCGAAAGGACAAGAATTGTTATGTTATTTAAGCAATGTATTCATATTTTTGGATGTCTTCGGTCCTATAACACACCTGGCCGTGCCGACAAATTGAATACCGCGCGTTAGCGCGGTATGATAATTTGTCGGCACGGCCAGGTGTGTTATAGGACCGAGGCATTCAAAAATATGAATTCAATGCTTATATTTACTTTCTCTAATTTTCCTTCTTCATAAT